ATGAACTGTATTTATTTATTTATTTATTTATTTATTTATTTATTTATTTGTTTGTTTGTTTGTTTGTTTGTTTGTTTATTTATTTAATTTATATGCCACCCACTCTACCCAAAGGTCTCTGGGCAGCTTACAACAATTATAATTCAGTTGAACAACAAACTGAAATCTTTTAGGTGGAGGGAAGCAAAAATAAAAAACTGAAATAATCACAGACACGTGACATTTTAACAGGGGCGTGTAAACTTTTTATATCCACTGTACCTGCTTTCAAACTCAAGAGGGAGTTTCTGCAGGTCAGCATAACAAAAACAACTATGGAGATTGGAATAGAATGTAGAAGTAAACTGGGATTCTGCCTTTCCTCCGTTAAGCTCAGAGGTATCTTTCCCAACTTTATGTTCTCCTTGAATTTGTGTGATTGATTATGCTAAGAATGTGTGACTAGGTCAAGGTTACAAAGTGCTTTCAGAAGATGGTTACATCATGCAAATGCCTCATAAACTTTATGGAATTTTACAGAGAGTCTAGGCAATGTTGATTTCAAGTTTCAGTCCTTCCTGCTTCTTCCGTCTTTTTGTTTTCTATAAAGTGTTCTTCAAGGTTAGGTTTTCACTGTGCAACAGCACTGCCTCAGTCATGGTTTACAGGAAATGTCAGAAATGTCAGAAATTAATTTTGGGGACAATTCCTAGAATATCCCAGTCAAATATTGCCAGTGAGAACTTCTGAGAGCTTTAGACTACAAAAGTCACTTTCTTATCTCTGCATAATGTCACCATCAATTTGCAGTGCTTCTATTTTTTCCTGTTTTTGCTCTTTCCTCCCTTATTTTATCTGGTTCACGAGAATGTATTAAATATTCTAGCAAAACATGCTTGGGAGGTTGTTTTTATTGCAGTTGATGTACTTATAGTAAAAGATGCAATTGCTGCAGAATTCCGTATAATTGTGAGTGATAAAACCCTTTTGTCAGGAAACCCAAAATTTTGTTAAGATGGAACAAGTGCACCAGAGATGGATAGGTTTTTTAAAAAATTATCACTCCCAAAACACTCTCTGATCATGCTGGCCAGGATGCTCTGGGAACTCTAGTCTAAAAATGAAAATTTCCCCCATCTCTGAATGTCTTTTGATTGGTCACTCTTTGTCTGGAAGCACCCAAATAAATGCCATTGTTGACCAGGAACTGGAATGCTGCCTTTGTAATGCTAGCCCAACACATTTTCCATTATGCAACTCTGCTTCTCAGCTTACTCTCTGCCAGGAGAGTTTCCAAATTATGCTTCAGTTTTTGAAGCCCTGATGTGGTTTTCTTGTGATGACACTTTTGCAAAGAAAGTTCAGCAGGAATGTGTGACTTGAAACCATTTGTTCTGGGTTTCTGTTTCCCCGACGCTCCTCCTCCAGGCAACAGGAGACATGTGGTGTTCCCTATTTGAATAGTTTGTCAGCAGAAATGATCAGGTTACACCTGTTTAGGTTACATACTGCCTAGGAAACCGCTGGAGCTCTTTCTCAAGACTAGGGGCCATAAAACTCTGTTTCTGAGGAAATTAAACATTAATTTTAATGGTACCAGAAAAAAACTGCTGTGTTCTCTGACAACCATCTGCTGCTGTACAGGTAAGTGTGCTTCCCACTTATAACAGAGCATGTGTAGATATGTTCTTTTAAAAACTGCATGTAAGTAAAACTGTGTTTAAAATTTAAATTTAAAATGTAAGGGTATTGCCTGCAATAAAAACAGGGGTACAGACATGTGTTGCTAGAGCATGTTTAGGTTCTGAGGGAACACAGTGAAAATTGTGGGTTATAGAAAAGAGTACAGCTGGTAGTAAGGGTGTGACTACACTGGAAAACCAAATCAGAGCACTTCGGGTTTTTTGTGATTTGATTCACAGCCTGTATTACATTTGAAATTGCAGTCAGTGCTCACAAAGGGACCGTGGATTAAGTTCACGCTTCATACTGGATGCAATATAATTCACATTCCCGCCCCCTTCTTTCCATCCTTCCCCTGGTCCTACTGCCAATCTTTCCTTCCTCTGGTCCCACCTCTGCTAATCCTTTTATGTGGTGTAAACATGGGAAATAATTATGATGACTCTGTGATAAGGTGATATGGTGATCCAGCACTAATCTCACATATGTAAGAAATCTAAGTGTTTTTTAAAAATCGGAAGATAATCAGGGTTGAGGAAAGAATGTGGGGGCATGTTCCCCTAGTCCTGAACATCATGCTCCTACTGCCTAGGTCACCCAAACATCACCTGTAGGCACACACACCCATTTTTACTGGAACATATCACAACTGACCATACAGGGGGGAAAAGACATTCAAATAGTTCTGGCTTGAAAAAGTAGAAGTCTCCCAGTGGCAGAGAAATAAAGCCATTTTGGCAGCAAAAAAAGCTGGATTGATTGAATCAGCCTTTGCATCATGTAGTCAATAAATATTTTGAATTCACCCATTTTATAAGTAGAACAAATATCATGGTATTTGACAATGTAGTTTCATCTTAAAGAACAGATTGTTTCTGATCACTGGTTGGTGAGAAACTTTAACACAAGCCCAAGGTTGGCTCATGCTGCCTGATTTCTTTTTTTACATTTTTCTTTCTTTTGTTGGGAATTTTAAAATGTTTTATCACTGGTACCAATGAGACATCAATAGCTGTTCCTCGGTTGTCTTGAAAACAGCAAATAAACATGGCTTATTTTACAGAAAAGCAAGTCATGCAAGGGGTATTGCATTCCACAAATTGCATGTTTTCTGCAGGAGCTTATCATTTAAGAAACAGCTATAAACATTGCAACCAGGTTCAAAGACATCCTGCACTGCTTCACTTCTTGAGCATTTATTATATTTTTCTTGTTTCTCTGGAGACTTTTTAAAAAATATATGATTTCTGAAGATTATATTCATAAATGAATATTACTTCGTAAATTTTTCCCTTCTTTGTTTTGGCAAGAGAGTTTTTCTCTTATCAAAGAGGATAGGCCTGCCTATCCTAAGACTCAAAGATTTCCTCAGCCATACTCGATTCCTTCTTTTTAAGCATTTTTTTGACTCATTTAGTCAGATTAATGGGAACATTACAACTGCTCGTCTTTTAATTAAGCTTGTTATGTGCAGTCCCGGTTTTAAGAGAAAGGCAAAATATAACTAGATCAATATTTATTGGTTGGCCACTTGCCAAGGATCCATGGCCTAGCAGAAAACCATTTGAGAAGATCTACATGTTCTCTTTACCATTGTAACCTACTGTCTTTTCATTCCAGTACAGACAAAAGTGGTAGGATCAAGACAGAATGGTCAAAGATTGACTGTCTACCTGGCAAATAAACAAGTGGTAATGATAATGGTGGTGGTGGGGAGAGAAGTAAGAACAGGAGTAAGAACAGCTGGCAGTAACAGTGGTAAGAAGATAGACTCTTTGAGATGTCATTTTCAGGTTTCTTGCCAAAGTGCCCTTTTCAAGCCTGAAGCTGGCATTGAAATCTGCTCTAATATGACCCAAAGGATACTGTATGGAGCCCCATATGATGCTTATGTTGAAACACCAGTGATACCTGTGCAATACTTCATTTATTTAGCTGTTTTCATTTTTCAAATGTGGTTGCTTGAGTTTTGGGTAAAAGGAACAAAATCTCAGAAATATTTATCAAATGTGCTGTACACCTTTTCACAAAAGAACTCTGTGTTGCCTACTCTTCTTCCACTGCATGCTGCAATTTTTTCATGAGCATAAACTGGGTTCTTCCATCAATTAAACTAGCATCAAATTTTAATATGTAATAACCGACAGGCATGTACCATCATCATTATAGATCAGCTAGTATAAATAATGCTATCAAGTTGCCAGAGAGCAATCCTTCTGATGAAAATATATTTCAAATAAAGTAGAGGGGTTGATCAAGTTTGGTTACAATTACTGCTTGTGGTTTAAGCTGCTGCTTGTAAACCACTACTGCCATCAGGTCTTACCACTGACCAGATTGGCTTGGGCTAGTGGGAAATGGAGTCCAGCAATATTTGATGGATTAAATTTCCCATATTCACTCCAGGGAATGTTTGCAGATTGCTAGCTATTCCCTTCCCTTCTATCCCATTCCAACAATGAATAAGCTGACAAATGCAAATCAATTTACATTCACAAATGCAAAGCAAATACAGAGCATGCTTCCTGCCCATCCAATTCATTTGCAGTTTCTAAAATAAGAATTGAGGGGACAGAGAGATTACTTGGAAAGTTCATCTTATATGCACTTCTGCATAGATGTATATGCTTGTGCCATGTGTGGAAGTTTTCATATGAGACAGAGGACAAGCTGATTGATTATTCCAACTAAAGTCTGATATAGACTGAATTATGCCCTCATATGGAAATATCCAGGGCTTTCTCTTCTCTTTAGCATGATTTCAGGTCTTCCTGGGGATACTGTTAGCTCTAGAATATATCTGAGATCAAATCAGGTCTTGTTTCTGCCCACTTCTCCAATAGTGTCTGATACAAATGAATATATGAATCCTTACAAATCTGTCTCACCATAAAGAAGCTTGCCATTATTACTGTTGCATGGGACTGCAGCACTGATCCTGTGCTGGCAGAAGTCAACATGCTATAAGGCAATTCTAAAAATAAGACTAGCCAAAACAAAAAATTGTAACTTTTAAACTGGACTTCACTACCATTCAGAGAGACCAAACACGAGAAAATGAACCAGACATATTTTTTTCATCAGTTAAACACTGTTAACCAGTTAACAAGTTCTCTGTTGTTATGTGCTGTCAAATTTCCACATTTCTGCCTCCAGAGATAGCTCAGGCTTGATTTGATCTAGGACCCACTTGTTTTCTTTCTGGCCGTCCAGGATATCTACAAAGCTCTCCCCCAGCACCACCTTTCAAATGATTGGGGTTTTTTTCTGTTTGCTTTTTTAGCTGACCTACTTTTTCACCCATACATGGTGACTGGAAATATAAGAGTGGGGATGGTGTTGGTCTTGGGCGCCATTGACGCATCCTTACTTTTGATTACCTTTTCTAGTTCTCTAGGTATCAAAATGCCTCCATGAAATGGTAGACAGCACAAGAGATGTAGACTATCTTGACTGCTCACATGGGTGTTGTAAACATTCAGGTTGCCCTTTGCTATGTAAAGTTTGGCATCCTTCTCCCTGCTGGCAACACAAGCACAATATTGTGCAATATTGGGCCATTTCCCGGCAGTCTGCATCATGGATGCAGAAGCACAATATTTCACATTCATAAACAAAGTTTTTTTGAAGAATTGAAAAATATCTCTATCTCATCTTGTACCACTTAAATAGTTTAGCACGGCAGTCTGCATCATGGATGCAGCACAATATTTCACATTCATAAACAGTTTTTTTGAAGAATTGAATAATATCTCTCTCTCATCTTGTACCACTTAAATAGTTTAGCCAAACACAAAGTCATGAAAGCCTATGTATAACAATTAAAGGGGCACTGTTTTAACTACTGGAACAAGTAGGAGTTTCACAATAATGGCAGAGTGGGTACCAGAAGCACAGCAGAAAGAGGTGGGAGAGTGAGGAAATACTACGTAGTGACAAAACAGTGCCACCTAGCAGCAAAAAGTAGAACTGAAAAATAGTCTACTTGTCACATTCACACCATTATCCTAAATGTGATCAAACCAAGCTTCACTAAGAGTCCAATTAAATAATACAGTTAAAAAGTTGTTAGAAGTGGAAGTTCCTTTGGAACTCAAAGACCTCTTATTTGTTATAACACATGATTTCACTCAGTTTTATATCTTGCATTTCAGCAAGATTTCTTTAACAATTGTCATTAGAAGGTAAACATGGGCTTGCTTGTGTGTGTGATATGTCACGAAGTCAGGACCAACTTACAGCAACCCTCTTAGGGCTTACAAGGGAATGTGTTGTTTTTTACAGTTCCACCTCCCGAGTTTTCCCATGGCTGAGCAGGAATTTAGTCATATCACTCTACTGACTACACCACACTGGATATCTATATGGGCTTACTTACCAAGTCAGATTACCTAGGATCCTACCTTTGAGAAAATTACATTTAGATTGTCAGCTGAGCAAGCTGAGCACCCTCCCTAATTTGATCCTGAATTCAATGAAATGTTCTATTCTGTGCCAAGGAGAAATGACCCATTTCTCCAACATTTATTTCAAGCAGCTTCTATTCTATTGCTAAATGATTTGATGACTTTTTTAAACACTCATACTCCATTAAGGAGTATGAGTGTTTAAAAAATTCCATTTTGGTCCTTCTGAACCAGGTTCTGTTTCAGATTCCATACAGAATGTGACCTACAGCATAGCCATTCTGCCAGTCACCACAAAGAGATGTAAAGAATGTCCCCCAATTTTCAGTCGCTTACCAGGTTATTTTTTTATTTTAAAAAAGTACTGGGACAAAAAATTGTCCATATATAAAGTGTAAGTCACAGGAAAGGAGGGAGAACAAGAGTGACATAGTAAGGAGACATGGGTCACAGAATAACAGAGCAGGAAAGAGGAGATAGAAAGCTTCTCTGAAATGTTTCTTCAGCTGTAGTAATACATATGAAGGGTGAATGAACCACTGTCATTTTATGACTGCACACAGAAGTTCCATCAAAGTTCCTGATGATAACTCAGCTGGTCATACTTCCATACAGTATTTCTTCTAAGCCTTTGGAGAACTTTCAGAAAACAGCCATGACAATTGCTTTGGTTATTTAACTGATGAAAAAAGGAGTCTGGTTCTGGGATTTTTCCCTTGTTTAGTGTCACTCTGTGAATGTTTGAGCATAAGAGGGGATTCTGTAGAACATCCTGATAGCTAAAATTGGACTCACCAATATTCAAGCTGGCCTTTGCTATGTAAAGCCTGCCATCCTTTTCCTGCTAGCAACATAGGCATCTTACTCACTTTCCCTGAAAATAAGCCCTAGTATGATTTTTCAGGATGCTTGTAATAAGTCTGTTAAGTGAGACCCCGTCCTCCACCATGGTCCAGCAACCAGAAGTTGACATGACTGTATTTGAATAGATTGTTGTACATGAAAAAACATGAAACATCCCCTGAAAATAAGCCCTAATGCGTTTTTTTAAAATAAAATTAATATAAGACCCTGTCTTAATTTTCAGGGAAACATGGTACTTGCATTGCTAGCAGTAAGGCAATGTCGGGTCGTTTCATAGCATTTTGAATCATGGACACATATCAAATCTATAAATCAGAGATTAATTTTTTTATAAAACCAGTTCAGTTGGATTGAAACAGTCATTTGATTCAGTGTTGATCTCCTGTGTTATGCTTTAAAGGGATAATCGTATATTGTGCATTTATTTTATCACAGTGCCTCACCCTTCGTGAATTAGTTACAATGAGCTGGGGACTTCTACGAGATATTCTAAGTGGAGTGAATAAATATTCAACTGGAATTGGCAGAATCTGGCTGGCTATTGTGTTCATATTCCGTCTGCTTGTCTATGTTGTGGCAGCTGAACATGTTTGGAAGGATGAACAGAAGGAGTTTGAATGTAACATTAGGCAACCTGGCTGTGAAAATGTATGTTTTGATCATTTCTTCCCAGTTTCACAGATCAGGCTTTGGGCCTTGCAACTGATTATGGTCTCCACGCCATCACTTCTTGTTGTGCTCCATGTTGCTTATCGAGAGAGCAGGGAAAAGAGACACAGGACAAAGCTGTATAAAGACCCAGGAAGTATGGATGGTGGATTGCTCTGTACTTATCTCATCAGCCTTCTTTCCAAAACAGGATTTGAAATTGGTTTTCTCTTTTTGTTTTACAAGCTGTATGGTGGATTCAATGTTCCCCGTCTTGTGAAATGTGACATGAGCCCATGTCCCAATACTGTTGATTGCTATATATCCAAACCCACAGAGAAGAAGGTCTTTTTGTATATTGTGGTGGTGACATCATCTTTATGCATAGTCTTAAATGTCATTGAGTTCAGCTATTTGATTTTCAAGTATTCCATCAAATGCTGTTTGAGGAGTTACATCAAGAAAGCTCGAGACTCCAAACATGATCACAAAAAGCTGAATTCTATAGATAACAATGGATCAACATCATTTTTTGGCAATGACTCAACCACTGTCTTCAGTTTCCATGAAACAGACAAAACAAACAGACAAAACGAAACCCCTGCCCACCAGCCAATATGAAGAATAAAAGGACACAATAAATGAAATGCATTTTAATGACTTTAGAAAATCTTAAGACAGCTTGAGGTTTTTAACCGTAGGCTGTGTGTTTGTATTTCTCCAAACACAGGAAATTATTTAAAGTATACCATGTTTGATTAACAAGGATGTAAAAACTGATGTTTCCCTTAAGCTGATGTATCAACATTCATGTTTATGCTGAGCTTATTATACAGTTTAAATACTTAAAATATTTTGACATAATTAAAAAACAAATGTACTGTCCTGAAGATGCTTCAGGCTAATGAGAAGAGACAAGACAGTACCCTTTGAACCACCTTGCTACTGTTTGTCATAAAAGGTGAGAATCTTATTTGCTACTTATGAAGTAAGTACAATGATGTAAACTGCAGTGGCAAATTGGCACTGGTAGAGATGGGTATGACTCAGTTTGTTCCACTTTGTACACAGGTGCTGTGTGGAAACTTCCCCCGCTCCATTCCCAGCTGGCTGGCCCACTCACAATTTGTTGTGTGCCGCTAGGGTCCTCCTTCTCTGGCTGTGCTCCAGTGTGAGCAGGAGCTTGGGAGTCCTCCTCCACTAAATGGTTGGCTGCTGGAGGAGGCAGGAAAGGGCAGCCTGAGCTCCTGCCCAGACTGGAGTGCTGCCAGAAGAGGAGGACCCTGGCAGCGCATAATGGTTTGTAAGTGGGCCAACCAGCCCAGGAGATGGGCTGGGGGAGGTGCTGCACAGACAGCTTTGTAGATAGCAGCATGAATTGAGTCATGCCCATCTCTAGCCAGTGGTTTACACTTCTTGTGACATTAGTTGGTGGACAACAAAGGACACAGGCAGCAAACTTAAAAAGTGGCAACCGATCACTGCAATTTATGCCATTGCACTTGCACAGGCAAAACTAACCAATAGGGTTCTTCCTGCAACAAAAATCAAAGCGTCCTGTGGTTTACTGGGTTCTTCATTAAGGACGGACAATTCTTCAGGTTATGCATCTCACGTCCACCATAGTGCTCATATAGGTTTTGCAATGGAAGCTGCTGTCATTTTACCTGGAATTTCTGTTTCCCACAAAAATGACAGTGACTCCTGTTGTTTGCCTTCTGCAAGAGAAGTATAAATGATTATGACATCTTTGTCAACAGTCACAAAATTCATTCCCACTCTGTTAAGGGCATAAAGTAGTGGATGGTGGATTGGCTTTGCCACTTCCATAACACTCTATTTTTGACACAGATTCTTTAAATTATTCAGCAAAATCATTAAAAATAATTAAATATATAAAACATATTGAAAGCTATTAGACTGGCTACTATTATTTACTATTACAATAAAAATATGCACAGATAATAGAATGGGAAAAGAAAAATGGGAACTCGAGGCTATGTTAGGATTACTGTGGGGGTACTTAACCCATATGAAAAAAAAATTATCAGTAGAAAAGCCAGAGAAAGGGTAGTCAGCAGGTTGACTACAGAAGCACTCCCTTCGAAGATAAGGTGTGCTGACTAAGTGGTTCAGCCTGAATCCAGCTTTATTTCCAGCTGGCCAATTTCATTAAAATTTCTGACAGTTGTCTCAAATTCTTTTGCATTAAAGCCCTTCTTGAAGAAGGCAGATCTGGACCTGCACATGCATACTTTGGCCACATCCATGTGAAGACTATTGCAGTGTACAAATTGTGGCTCATGGCCATTCTGCCCCTTCTCCCAAACTGAGGAAGTGAGCCAACCATTACTATATGTGGGGACACTTTTGAAGTGCTCACAAGTTTCACTGTTGTTGGACCTCACTATATAAAACAAATTGTTTTTAGTTTTTTGTGGTCACTATCATTTTCCAGTTTGTTCCAAAGCATGATTTACAGTTCTGGTTATTGTCTTTAAAAGCCTGCATGGATCAAATCCAGCACTTCCATTTAATTCTACCTATTTAAGTTTCAGAACAGCCTCTTGCTTGACTTTCTGTTGCCACAGAACACACCATTCTCTATAAATGGTGTAGTCTCTGTGCTTCTATTTCTCAACTTGGTCCTTCCATGTTATGTCTTGTTAAAAAAAAAACCTCCCATGTCAATGTTTATTAAAACAAAAAAGTATGATTAATTCCTGCCTCTATATTTGTGTGCTGTCAAGTGAAATCCAGACTTATGGTGACCTGTTTCCAGGGTTTTCTAGGTAGAGAGTACTCAGAAGTGGTTTACCGTTACCTTCTTCTGGAGGTATCCTGGAATTCTGCATGGCCACATAGGCTGGCTCTTCTGGGAGGCACAGTGGGAAACTGAACTTCCATTCTCTGGCTCTGCAGAGCTATCTCAACTCATTGAGCTATCCAGCTAGCTTCCTGCCTTTATATTGGATTGTAAAATGTTACAACTTATTACAACTTTTGTAACAACTTTTTAAAATTTCTTGCTTAATTTGCTTATATTTTGCTATGTGTAAATTGTGTTTTGTTTCTAAATGATGGTGAACTGTGTTCAGCAGAAAAGCTGCATAAACATGCTAAAATAAACAATTTTTAAAGTCTCCAAATACATTTGGAGTAAAAATGCAAAATGATGCAGGTAAACTTTATTAAGAAGGTTCACCTTTATATCCTGCCGAATGTAGACTCTATAAACATCTACAGCTGTTTTCCTTTAAACCCCAGCTCATTATCTCTTTTGTTTAGTTCCACCTCTTGCTCCATTTTGACTGGAATAGAAACTGAAGTTGGAAACTCACATTGGGTCATTTGTAATATTAGAAACGACATCCTCATTGAAGTTCTGGATCACATACTATCTATTTTCCTTTTTTGAGGCATCAATAGAGAAATGAAAGTTTTCATTCCTTTTTCAGTTAAGTCCAGTAAATACATCAATAGTATTACCCATAAACTTTGGTTATAGTGTTAACTGTAGTTAAATAAAACAAGTCAAATGCTAACTATAGTTAAGATCCTGGCTTGTTTCTCTAAGCCAGAGGTAAGGAATGTAGTGCCTTACAGCTGTTTTCATTACAACTCTTACCAGACACATCAACCAGAGTCAGAAATTCTGCGAGCTGTAGTCCAAACATCAAACAAATAAGCATAGCTACTTGAAACGAAACAAAGCCTTTTAACTTCCTGTGTGGCTGTGCTGGAGAAGGAATAAGGGGAACATAAATCTCATACTTCCGGCTCAAACTATTAGCTGCCAGTCACAAGTGCAGTGCTTTCAAAATGCAAATGCCAACTACAATCCAGAGTTAAACAGTCCAGCAAGACCTACAACACATCTATTCTTAATGGCAAACCAGAGCACCAAATAGCTTATCCAAGGATGTATCGACAAATTTCAGCAGAATGGGGCTCTTAAGTAAGACTTAAAGAAATGTTGAAAGCTCTGAATAAAATACTTTACAAAAATGTCAGGAAAAATGAGTCACTGCTGCAGGTAGTTCTAACTAAAATATTAAAACAAATTACCTTTTTGTTACAAAAACATGCATATAAAATCCTCATTATTGTCTTTTATAGTAATATGCTTAGCACCACCTCCAAGTCACACGTAAGCTTGCAGGATATCTTCTCTATGTGTGCTACTTTAGAAAGTCTACATCAAAGAGTTTTTCTGCTGAAATGCCCAGAATGTGCAAATGGCTGACTAGCATTTCCATGATATATTGCTCTTATCTAATAGCGGGACAAGCAAAAAGTAGCTTGTACAATCTCAGCTACCTGTCCTTCCAATGCCACACCACTCTTTCTAGTTTGTGTGGGAGCCCTACTGAACAGCTGTCAAAGGTCTGTACTGGGAAGTGGAAATAGCCCTAAACTGGGTAAAGAATCTTGAGCCACAGACAACTCCACTTGCAAGATTCTTGCACCTCATTTCAGAAGTCTTCACTACCACTGCTAGATAGAGCCTGCAGAATTAATTGCACACTAAAATGAAGGTATAATAAAAGTAAAAGAATTGGGACTGAATGGCATTTTAAACATTGAAGTTTCAGCCTTCATAAATGTATAAATTCAGACCTTTTATAGCAGCACATAATCCAAATGCATGGATGGAACACAGAAAACATTTCTTTACATTCCCCTAGGGGTTCTCTAAACCAGTGGTCCCCAACCTTGGGCCTCCAGATGTTCTTGGACTGCAACTCCCAGAAGCCTTCACCATCAGCTCTGCTGGCTGGGTTTTCTGGGAGTTGCAGTTCAAAAACACCTGTGTAACAAAGGTTAAGAACCACTGCTCTAAACTGTTGAATGATTATGAGATTTAAGAGCTGCCAATATAAAAATGTGTTTGAGGATATTTCAAGCCACTTTCCCAGTTTCAGGTCCTTGTCTTAAAGTTCACCCTACCTCCACTTTAAATCAAGGGAAACTAAAATTTCAGGAATGGCTATTACCAAAATAATTAATGAATAATTCTTACTGCAAGGTATGCACCCCACATGCTCCTTATTAATTTGGAATCCTTGACATACTAGATCTAAATACTAAGTAACTAGATGAATTTTCTGCCAACAAGCAGCTGTGTTTGAGACCATTTCCTTTTCTATGGGCACCTCTGTAGAACTCAGGAAAACCTAATGCATATCTACAGAATGCCACGTTTACTTCACTAATGCTAGCTCCTGATCCAGCGATCCGATCCTCTGCCCTCTTCTTCAGCTCTGAAGAAAGACAAAGGAATGTTGAAAATCACCATGGACACAGCAAACAAGATTTGGGTTTTCAGCACTGCAAATCAAAAAAAAGAGGTTACTTACCTGTAACCATGGTTCTTTGAGTGGTTCTCTGTGAATTCACACAACCCACCTATCCTTCCCCACTATCCGTCATGGGTTAATTGGATACTTAATTAATTGTTTCCTTCGCACCTGGCGGATAATAGGAACTGAGGAAGATGGTGGGTGGGAGGAGCATATACCTCATGGAGGATCACACTATAAAATTGTTACTTTTATCTCTAGAATCTTCCGAGAGAGTCAGCGCTGGCACAGACAATAACCATATGTGTGAATTCACAGAGAACCACTCAAAGAACCATGGTTACAGGTAAGTAACCTCTTTTTCTTTTTTGTGGTCTCTGTGAATGCACATATATGGGTGACTAGCAAGCTGCACTTACCGGTTGGTGGGTTGCCACGGTAAGAAGGATGACAGGACAGCTCTGCCGAATGCAGCATCTTGGTGTGCTCTGACGTCCAGCCGATAGTGTTTGACTAACGTTGACGGTGCCACGGTGAAAGGCAATAGAGGCGGACAACGCTCTGGTAGAGTGAGCTGTCAAATGCTGTGGAGGAGTTTTCCCCGACAGGCTGTAGGCAAGAGAGATAGTCTGTACTATCCAGCATGCTATAGTTTGAGAAGAGGCTGGGTGCCCCTTGTTTGGGCCATGGAAACACAGGAAAAGTTTGTTAGATTTCCTGATGGATTTAGTTCTTTCGACATAGGCCAAAGCACGTCTGACATCGAGGTTGTGGAGCATATGTTCCAGGGGCGAAGATGGGGATTTGAAAAAGCACGGAAGTATGATGGGCTGATTGTGGTGGAAGTCGGAGACCACTTTAGGGAGAAAGGAAACATCAAAGTAAAGAGTCACTTTATCAGGGTGGAACTGAATAAAGGGAGGATCAGCCGAAGGGCGGCGAGCTCGCTGGCTCTATTGGCCGATGTAATAGTGACTAAGAAGGC